CAGGTGGTCAAGGTGGAGACTGCACGAAGAAACCAGGACGTGGTGCAAAGCCATAGTTGCCAGGAGTAACCGAAGCCGCAATAATAAAGTTCATGGGCCTACACCTAATGACTTCCCCATTACAGCACCCACTGAATAAGTTGAAGGACTGAAGGCTGACTGCGCAAGAACACCAACAGCAGACATCTGGAAGCGGGGAAGGATTTTCCTCTGCCATCAAGGACATGAGCCGAGCTGTCGAGAGGATGGCAGAAATACATCAGCAAATCCTTACCCTTTTCACCGTGTTGCTATCCAAACGAACACTCCACTGAAAGTGTTAATCTGGAATGCCAATGGCATTTCAGGTAAAGTGCAAAAACACGCTATTGGAATAATTCTGCTGTCAGAAGTAGGAACCAACGGTCCTACTTTCCCCGGAACCTTTGGCTTCGAGGCGTACCCTGTACAGTGGACTATAAATTGCTCAGCTAGTGGCTGCTGAGCTGTCCTCGTCCAGAGTAACTTGTAATATTCGACGGTGAAAGTCTCCACTGATGCTGGTAGCGTGGACTTTAGAGCATTCTATTACAGGCCAATTGAGTAGACTTATGCCTTCAACGTCATATTCAACTCGGCTGGAAGCAGATATATAGTGGGAGGCGACTGGAACGCACATCACTGATTGTAGGGCGCAAATAGCAGCAATACCCGTGGCCTTCAACTAGCTAACAGCCTAGCACATCGTCAAGCGATGGTACTGGTCACAGGTTTTCCCACAAGATACCCGTACGGCAGCAGAGGCATACCGTCTTGCATAGACTTCGCCATCTACCAGGGAGTCCCTGACCAGCTCCTCTCAGTCGCTGACGATTGGGATCTTCCAGCGAAATACCGAGGCAACGCACGCACTGATCTCGGTTTCTTCCAGAGACAGATGAGTGAAAGTATTCACCTACACACCAAAATCAGCACTGGACTGGAGAGCTGCATTGAGCTGGTCAACGCAATGATTCTCGCAGCAGTTGTCAGGCGGCTGGATAGTGCTGGCAACGGACTGCCCGCAGATATAGCCAACCTGCTCAGGATCAAGAGGCGGTGCAGACTCAGGTTCCAGACGACTCCGCATCCGTGGAACATGGCGGAGTGGCGGCAACTCAAGGCCCTTCGCACACACAAGGACGCATCCTTCTCCAGAAGGTTGGAGAGCATGGACTGTACTCATGACTCAGGATACACGCTCTGGCGAGCAACTAAAAACCTGAAGCGCCAAGCGTGAAGAACCGTTCGCCTTCTTCCCCACAATGGAAAATACTGCCTTATAGACGAAGGGCAAGCTGATACCTTCGCCAGCCACCTGGAGGAACGGTACACACCTTTCGATTTGGCCTCCCCTGAAGAGCTCGCTAAGACTACCCGAGCATTGGAGACTCCGCTTCGGATGTCACCACCTATCGGCCCCTTCCGCGTGGAGGAGGTGATCAACGTCGTCAAACCCCTTCCCAGGGCTAAAGCAACGGGTTTTTTTATAACGTTGATCTTCAGCGCCATATTAAGAAGGATCCATATGATCCATAAGTCGGGCAAGCCGGACCCTGAGTCATATTGGCCGATCAGTCTCCTGCCTACCTTGTGAAAGGTTTGAAAAAGGCTGATTGTCGCCCGACTTGCTAGGCTTATGGATCAAACGGTCATCCTTCCTGATCATCAATTTGGGTTCAGCGCTGGGCATGGCGCTGTTGAATAGGTTCACAGTGTAATAAACCATATTGTCAAGGCTTACGACGACAAAGACTATTGCTGTGGAGTCTTTGTAGACGTTAAGAAGGCCTTCGACCAAGTCTGGATAGATGGATTGCTCCAGAAAATCAAGATGAGTCTTCCCGCCCCGTTCTTTATACTTTTGCGCTCTTATCTAATACCGTTGATACCGTCGCTTCCTCGGCGGCGTTTATGGCGACGACTTCTGGGTCTTCAACTAACTTATCGCCTATCCATTGCGCATGTTATTCCCTGCCCTAGCAGTGCAGCATTTACTATATAGTATCTACTCTATCTATTCTTAACTTATTCTACGGTTATTCAGTTAGGTATTCGGTCATCTCTTGGTAAAACGCTTTCAGCTGCGATCTTTCGTTCGCCTGTCCTCACTAGGCGCACAATATTAGGGGACATGAATTTGACGACCCGAAAGGGGTCCGACAATATTGGCACAGAGTACTGCAGCAGATATTGGAGCACTTTACGTACTTGGCGGCGTCACGGAACATGCGCGGCCAGTATTATCTCTCTGCCAACCTCGAACATCAAATTGGAACTGTTGCAGCTCCAATGCCCATCGCGCAATTCTTAGTGAAGGGCTATTGATCGAGTTGAGCCACTTGAGTGGCAGATGATCCGTTATCACGTCGAACCGATACTTTTCTAGGTAGCAGCGGAACTTCCGGATCGACCATACTATTGGCAGGAATTCTTTCTCGGTGGCGGAATAGTTCACCTCAGCTTTCAGCAACTTCCGGCTCGCTATCACTCGCTGCTGTCCCTCAATCATCTGCGTCAGCACTGCGCCGAGGCCATACTCGCTCGCGTTAGTCTGCAAGACGAATTTGGCGGAAAAGTCCGACAAGCCAACATAGGGGCAGTCGTCAAGCTATCCTTCAATTGACGCAATGCCTCCTCCTGTTCTTGTTCGAATGCCCATTTCCGACCCTTCCTTAAGAGCGCTGTGAGCGGCAGTAGCTGAGTCGCGAAGTTGAGAACGAAGCGCCTGTACCATGACGCCTTCCTGACACATTGCCGCAACTCCTTACAAATTGTCGGGGCCCTCAGATTAGGTATCGCCTCCACCTTCTCTGGATCGGTACGTTTCCCGTTGCCGCTATTACCACGGTATCGTCTGGGAAGGCAAACGCATGAGGCTCCATCGCTGGCCCTATTACTGCGTATAAGGCTCGTTGTAAAATTGCACATGTCGAATGCAAACCAAATGGCATCACCCGCCATTGGAACAGACCTCTTCCAGGGACTGTGAATGCTGTGCATTCCCGACTATCGGCTGCCATTGGTATCTGCCAGTACCTGTGCTTCAAATCCAGAGTGGAGATGAACCGGGCGTGACGCAACCGCTCAAGGATGTGGGTGATCCGGGGCGGGATAAGCATCCGGAACGGAATGCGCATTGAGCTGCCTGTGGTCGATGCACATGCGCCACTCGCCGGTCTTCTTTTTTACTAAGACGATTGGGGAGCTGTGCGGAGTACGCGACGGATCGATGGCACTTGCCTGGATCAGCTCATCTACCTGTTTGTCGATCACCCTCTGCATGTCCGGATTCTTCGAGTAGTATCTCTGCTTCAACGGCTTGTCATCTTTCAACCGGATCCGGTGCTCCGCGATGTGCGAGACTCCGTACAGCCCCTCGAAGAGTACCAGTTCCGACTCTAGGAACTCCCTAAGTTCCGGATCCAGATCCGCTGGCCACTCTGCGTCTTCGATGCTAGACTGGTTCCTCTGGTTCCCTCTTGGTATCCTCTCTCTGTGGCCAAGCAGGTGCTCCCCTTTCATTATCTAAGAGACCTTCTTTCGACTCCTCGCTCGTATTCTCTTCCCTCGATTGCCGAGCGCACCCGTTTCTCAACGCGTGAGTCCTTCTTTTGGCTCTTCTCTCATTCTGTACCCCGCGACCGATGCCGTCACCGTCTCTAGGTCCAACTTTTCATTGCCACAGCGGATTGTAGTGCACATCGCACCCAAGAAATCCATCACCAGGATGAGTTGGCTAGCATCGAGGGCATGATAAGCATCAACATGCTGATCGCTTTCCCCGCTAGGCCAACGTCGCACCTCAATGCTTTCCCCACTTCACCGCACGCGAGTTGCATTCGTCCCATTGTACAGCTGTCGCGACGCCTTAACGGCCCTTCGACGCCGAAGCGGCTGCGGCGCGCGTTTGTGCAAGCGTGGTCTCGCTGTCGCCCATCTGGCGCGCGCGCGCTCACTTAGTGTGCCCGATTCTGCAACTATTACTAATACAATGCTTATATACTATACATTGTTTATACCCTATAATTATAAATATGAACTGTGGGGTGGCTACCTTAGTGGCCGATTTACAACTTAACAATATGTTTGAAGTGCATGGAATAAATAACACAATGCTGTTATCAATGAAGAAGAGTCTTGTGGTAAGAGTTGTCAAGCAGAAAAATAACCTTAGTTTATAATACCTTTACCCGCAATTTTCATCTAAGGGTGGTTACCTTTACGTAAACGTATCAAACTATTTTTTTTTTTAAATGAGCTTAAAACGATAATTAACACAAAATAAAAATTTTCTTCCAAATTACCAAAGTTACGGGCGGAATATCCAAAATCGTTAAGACACATATTCATTTGAATTTTATATAGGCTTTGAAAAAAGTTTGAAAGTTGCATTTATCATCCACCAGGGGCGGATTTTGCGAATCTGAATCTGAAAAACGTTACAGATGAATTTTCATAAAGATCTTTGAAAATGATTTTGATGCCGATCAGATGAAAAACGAATAAATTTCATACAACACTTTTTTGCAAATTTATCACTATTGCCGGTGGAATAATTTGCATAGCTGAAAATGTATTCATTAAATTCTTAGATAGGGTTTTGAAAATAAGGTTGAAATCAAACAAAATCGATAACTGCCTCCAAAATATCTCGGATCACATTCCCACCGAGGATGCTTGGATTCTGATAAAGGGGTGAAATATGTCTCAAATGATTTTTGGAAAAGATCTTTTGAAATGAATTTGAAAGCGAAACTTCCCCCACCAAATCTTTGACCCCCATTTATACCGAGGAGGAATGGAGTTTCCGAAAATTGTGAAGCACCCTTCACATGAATTCAAGCAAAGATATTCTCACACACATTACGTTTATTATTAGGTTTATTTTCCAAGCACTTAATTTTTGCTTTATAAAAACATTCAATATAAAAGAAATAAAATGAAATACCTTATACGAATATCTTAACATTTTATTGCAGTCCTTGGAAAGCACCCGACGAATGCTTGCTCTTTGTGAAGAGGTAAGATACCCAAATTAGTTATCAGTAAACTTTTGATTATCCTAAGTTAAGTTAATTAAATTATAGCTAAGCTTCGTTGTTTACAAAAGTTTTATAATCATTCAGTGAACATCGGATAAAGAGTGTCTTGCAGTCTCGTTGTCTGTCCGAATAAAAGTTGTTTAAGCTGTATAGGCTTTATGGTGTGTGATTGCAAATTTTACAGAAACTTCTGATTTACCTTTAAGTTTAATCTTAAAATCTCCACCTCTTTAATCACAAGAATCTTATGATTTAAGAGAGAGTTCCCAGTTGAGAGTGATTGACGTGTTTTACTTGTGCTCCAAGATTTTTATATATTTTTCCGCTTTAATCCTGCTTTTTATTTCAAAATTTTGCATTTTTCGGTGCTTTATTTAAAATGCTTTTATAAACTGTGCAAAGTGTTATTTCTTGTGCAGCGCAAGTCTGTTATTTATTGCATTTATTCAACGCGGCGTCAGTTCCGTGTTGTTATTATTGCCTGTTTTGATTATTTTGCTTTGGTCCTCCCCTGTGCATACACTTGTTTGTGCGTGTGTTCGCTGCATACTTTCTGCTTGTGCATCGCGCTCTCGCCAATCTTTTCTATTGCCTTTCGCTCCAAACAATTTTTTTGTGTACGAATAATTGTTTTTTGAGTGCTTACTTGCTCTATCTTGTGCACCGTTTTCGTTTTGCTCTGCGCTCTTGCTAATTGCATACGCATTTAATAATTATGTCGTGCTGTAAGAAACCGTGCACGTTCAAGCAGGCTGATGATTCTGCACTGCCCCAATTTGTTAATTGCTGGCTGTGTGAGAATATGATGCGGCGGCTTGCGTTGGTCGTGCCCAGAATGCATCGACAAGCAAATTGATTTCTCCAGAATGTATAATTCTGTGAGAAATCAATTCTTACAATTGAATAATGTGGCTAAGCAGCTCTCGAGTAATTTTGACTCCAGTTTCGAGTTGCTTGCCAAATATAAATTCGAGTCCCCACCCAATCGCCGGTTGGTGCCTCAACTTTTGCAATTGCCCTCTACGTCTGTTCAGACACCTACGCCTTTCTTATCCCTTCCTAGCAACTTGGATGTATCTCCAATGTTGTCCTTATCGCCTTCTCCAAGCGACTGTCCATATACCTCTATTTCAACGTCTGTAGTAGTACCAGTAGAGCCCGTACCTGATCCTGTCCCAGTTATCCAAACTGCCTCAGCCCAGTCAGCTTCTGGCTGCAAAGGTAGACCTGCGCGCAATTTTGCCCAGATTGTTAAAAACAATCATTGTGTCTTTTTAGCTCCTCTAACTCCTGTATTACCTACAGCTCCACCAGCGCCTATTTTAACGGTAGTTGCCCCTCGTAGGCAAGATTTTGTGTCTCGACTGTCGTCGGACACCACTTCTGAGTCATTGAGAGCCTATATTGCTAGCAAATCTTCTGCTAGCGTGTCAATAACCAAAATTAATTTCTCCACCCCACGTGAAATATCATCATTCAAAATAAATGTTTCACATGATATGTTCCCAATCATTTGTGATCCCAAATTTTGGCCTCCACACATGATTGTTAACGAGTTCAAGCCTCAAAAGCGTTACCAGCCTGTCACCCTTCCAGTCCCTTCAATACAGGGTACCATTTCTGCCCCAAAAAACTAGCTTCATCTTCTGACCAAAGCTTAAAAATCTTTTCATGGCCAGCACTTCCTTCGATTCGGATATAATAGCATTTTCAGAAACATGGTTAAACTCAACCATATTTGATTTTAAGATTTTATCTAATAACTTTATTTTGTATAAAAATGATCGGCCGACTCGAGGTGGTGGGGTGTTAATTGCCGTTAAAGTCACTCTCCAGTCTGAACTTTTCTGTTTTAGTACGCCTACTGACGCTGAGATTGTCTCAGTTAAGGTGTCTTTTCCTACACGGAATATCTATATAACATGCTCTTATGTCCTACCTTCTTCTGATATTCAAGTTTATATGAAACATATTACTTGTATTAAAGAAGTTTCTTCACACGCGCGTGATGATGACCTATTTTATGGTGTTGGGTGATTTTAATTTGCCGAACATCTCTTGGTCAATATTTACTGCCAAAAATTATCTTGTTCCTCAGCACAGCACGATTTTATAGACAGCAAGCTTGATCTTTCATTGTTTCAAATCAATTCAATTTCTAATCATTTGATTAGAACACTTGACCTTGTATTTGTTAACGACTACCTTATTTCTAATGTGTCTAGGTCCCCTCCTTCATCTCTTTCTGAGGATGTATATCATCCTACTTTAGAGATTGCAATGCAATGATCATCAGCTCTTATCTATTCATAGATTTATAAATGATCTCCCTCTCTGTTTTATCTCATGCCCGTGTACTCATGTATGCTGATGCTCAAACTTCTCCTATCATACAATAATCCTCTACATCATTCTCGTCTGCAAGACGATTTGAACGCTATGCAATTTTGGTGTTCGCCCAATCAATTGCATCTAAATTGTTTAAAGTGTATGTTTATGACATTTAATCGTACTACACCTTATCTTGTCAGTTCTACAATTGACACTATCCCTTTGCAACGTATACTAACAGTTAAGGATCTAGGCGTTATTTTTGATTCTAAACTCTGTTTCAATCTTCACATAGAAACCATCGTTAATGAGCAAAAGGTGTACTTGGATTCATTAAACGATGGCCTAAAGAGTTTAACGATCCTTTTATAACAAAACTTCTGTACATCTCTCTTGTTCGCCCTATCCTTGAATACTGCTCTTGCATCTGGTCTCCACAGTATAACAACAGCCAGGATCGTATTGAATCTGTTCAGAAGCAATTTCTGCTTTTTGCCTTACGAGGCTTAAATTGGGACCCTAATGTTCGGTTGCCATCCTACTCCAGCAGACTGCTTCTTCTCAACCTTCCGTCGTTAACCAACCGTAGGACAATTCTCGGTGTTGTCCTTCTACATAAGTTGATTATTGGCGACATAGATTCTCCTTTCTGCTAGGTCGACTTTAATTCTCTGTTCTGGCTAAACCAATCAGAAATTATCGCCCCTTATTCCTATCTACGAGCACAACAGACTACGCTATGAACAATCCTTTTCGCGTGCTATGCAAAAATTATAATAGTTTGCATCGCGATTTCTCTACAGAACTGTCTCTACCCCTAATAAAATCGTTGTTTTCAGGATACCTTCGGGAAGTCGCTGACCATTCCCAGCTATGAGCAGGGGCATAGCTTGCCGGACAGGCTGAAAAATTTTCCCCCACCGGGTCGGTGATTTCCCATTACTTTTCTCTTTGTCCTGTCTACTTAACACTCTTTATCTAACTTACATTGCTTTACTTTATTAACAATCTTACTTTCTTTTTCCCTATTTATTGTATTTTCTTTATTAATATATCAAATTAAGATTATTTTTAATTTTACTTGAGAACAATTTTTTCCTACTTACAACCTTCTGCTTAGATGTAGGCTCTAATAGCGTCACTGACAAAATTAGCTGTGAAAAGGGGCACAACTGGCCGGAATGGCAAATAAAACACCTCCATCGGTCAGTGATGCTATTTTTAAAATTGTATTCTTTAACTAGGCTTTTAGCATATAATTATATTACATATTGTATAACCTATTGAATAATGAGGAAGATACTCGTTTGTCGACCATTAATAAATAATAAATAATAATAAAAAAAAAAAATAATAATAAATTATAAATATGTTTAATTTGCGCTGGAATCGATCAGTGCCTTCTGATCTCTACTAAGCGAACATATAAGGAAAGAATGTATAGTTGCAAGTGATCATATGATTATTAACAAAATAGTGGAAGGAGATATTTAAATAATTCGCCTCGTAGGTAGATCGCTGGGGTGAATATGCAGTTTGATTCGGGGCTTTAGTAGCCATTCGAGCTTTTGAAGCCTTCTCAAGCATTTTGCTATTGTTGCTGCGATGTGGGACCCCCATATGAGCCGTCGGTCCAAGTGGACGCGCAAGTACCAGAATGTGGAGGTGTGCTCAATGGCTCATCCATCGGACCATAGCCCCTGGCAACTGTTTGGGCGAAGCGTTAAAGTCACGCAAGCGGACTTGCCAGTTTATGACGGCGTTCTAGTTAGCAGTCCAAGTTTCAAATATCACTGCCTGCACTGTATTTGTTGTAGCTTGTAAGGATTCGTTGATGCTGCCTTGTTGAACACCTGTTTTAATGCCTTTGATAGCCGACCTTTGGTCTTTAACGGCCATGTTAATGGTGCGTCCTGCCAGGAAGGAGCTCAGGATGCAAATAAATGGCGCAGGGAGTGGACCTTTGATTTGGGCGAATCTACCTTGAAGATCCTATTCCACATACCGCAAAGCAAAAATATTTCCACGACATAAAAGTTACTGCTCTGTCGTTAAAATTTAATTTAAAAGACTCTTGGATCTTATTAAACACATTGCTCCAATTAAAAATATATAAGGATATGAAGGTATACTTTATTTAATTTATATAACAGGCAAAATCAAATGTATTTGAACAGATATATACTCTTGATTAGCTCATTCGATCTGTCGTCGATCCGTCGGTCTGTATGCACTTGCCAATTCCAGAAATTGTATGAACTAGAATTTTTAAGAACATATTTTCGTGTTCACATCAAACACATGCTTATATATTTCCTTTCCATTCCCATTGCTTTGTCAAGTAACCAAATGAGACAACACCGACGGCTGCGTGCAGTACTATTATAACTACCCAACTCAAATCTGACTTCAAATTAAGACATCAAAATAATATACAAAACAAGTAAGAGGTTCTAGTCGGGAGCTCCCGACTAGGGAATACCGTGAACTCTCTTATTCCAACACCAAAAAAAAAATTAAAAAAAAAAAGACCCCTTGGCAGGGTTCCACCAGCAAAAAAACATATTTTCCCCGGTAGGGCTCGAACTCGCGACAGACTGCAACACTTGCTATGCCTCCACTTAGCAGCCACACCAATAATTAAGTAC